AAATTGTTCATCTTTTCAGAATTAAAGTAGTACTTTCCAGCAGATAGTTACGAGTTACGAGAAAAATATCAACAACAGGATTTTACTTGATTAGACAGCAATCTTTCAGAACCAAAACTATGTGAAATGTAGGTAGTAAGTAAGGAGTTACGGTCAAGTTAAGTTAAGGAGTTCATTTCATAGCCACTGACCTTAGGGATGTGACAAAGAGCCATGTTATTTAAGTATTAGTGGTTGAAATTAGAAAAAAGTTTCAGTGTTAAATTTCAAGCGTGTTCGATTGTTTTTTTATAGGCCGCATTTTCACCAGAATGCTGCACTAAGGACTATCACACATAACATACATTTTTTTCTGAAGTAATACCGTGGGAATCGTGAAATAAATCACGCGAGATTAATTGGTATGTTCAGCTTCGGTGGTATTTGAACTTTCTGACCTTATGTGGTTTCATTTCCTTTGCAAAGCAACCGCCCACATGATCAGCACTCACGTATCCTATTCCAAATTTAACTAGTCGCGTGCCAAAGACTCTTTTTAAAACGTCACTTTTACATGCATTGTTAGATCTGTCATCAAATGCCTGAAAGGCAAATGAATTGTGATCAGTAAATCGCCATAATTTTTCAAATACTTTATAGCGAAAAAACAGAAGATGATAAGCGCGAAATCAAAATTGAAATTGAGTTTTGTTCCAAATGATTTTTAATTTCCAGTAGGTAGCCAAGCTCACGGCAGCGTCTTCCGGTTAAATTATCGCGTAGATCAAAGGCAATTTGTGAAATTTACAAAACGTCTGATCATGAACACTGGGTGTCTGGAGCGAACGAAGTCGAGTAAAATGGACAAGTTTCTCCAGAAACAACGAATGCCCGACAGAAATGATGTAAATCCGAAAAATTTAACAGAGAGAATGTTATTTGGCAAACCCTGTTAGTTGCAAGTCCTACATGGTTTACCACGTACTTATATTAACCGCAATGTCATCTCAAGCTTGTCAGCCGAAATATTTCCGGAGTGTACCCAAGTCTCCCTTCCAGATAGACAACGCCTGCCGACTTAAAATAAAAGTCGTTTGTATAAAGTTCAGAAAGAAAACGCTATGCTTTATTCACATCCGACGCTCTTATTTTCTAATGAAGGGCTAGAGCAGTAGAGGTCTTGGACAATGAAGAATGAAACAAACAAACAAACAAACAAAACAACACTTACAAACAGGCCACTAGATAAACGAGAACAGAAAAAAACACAAAGGTTGGGAGGATTGTTTATTCTGTACGAGCGAGAGGGAACGGAAGATTCAAAGCTTCAGGGCGTTTCTGACTCAGCCTTCATCAGGAAATCCTTCAAGTTGGTTGCTTAAAATTTTCAAGTCTAACTTTCCGTTTTGCGTGTAAGATGAGCAGGAAAACTAGCATCATATGTTCGCTCGTGTTATTTTTAATTTTAAGTGCGGTTTATCTCAGCTTTCATATGCCATCATCTTTCCAAATAAAGGCCACATCACACAGAGGGGGGTCTAACGTCAGCATTCTATTTGGGGCCAGTGGAGTACTTCAAATTTTATGGTTTTAGCAGCGCGTGATTTTAATTGTTGAAGTAATACATTTTACATTTAGGTTATAACTCGAACTGTTAATTCATATTACTGCTCAAACGTGGAGTATGTGATAAGTGAGTGTCAAAATGAAACGACGTAAAATGCCTTCTTTAAAGCACGTTCCGCATGAACTGGAGGTGACATTATCTCCGCAAATTTCAGTTCTACGAAGAAACACTCGGCAATTTTTAAATTGAGGAATTCTGGAGCTTACAACTTATTACAGGAGGTCTCTGGCAAGAAAAATTTGCCAAATCATAAAATTTCCATCGACTTTCACTCATGTGTGCTGCAACACGTAATGAATTGTGTACAAGTACGGATTGTGAAATGGTTAGTGCCCTCCGGCGTTAGGGCTTGTCGTCCATAACAAGCAAATAAAATTTGTCAAGAGGAAAATTGTCAAATAAATTTGTCAGTGACGGTTGTCAAGGAAAAGTCGCTCGTCTGGAAACGGCTTTCAGAAAGCCTAAAGCTCTGCCGGATATAACTGCACTGTCAATGTCACGAGAATGCCAAAAAAGAAAGGGGAAACTAAAACAGGAAAAACTAGTTCGAAAAGCCGTTGAGAGAAAACATGTTCTTCGCTTAATTTTCGTGTACATGCACCTTACGTTGAGATTTAAGAGTTATCGAGCAGACATTTTACTGCACCCCGCTTAAAGCTTCTCTGTGCTCGGGAATGGCTGAAGCATAGATGTCAGGGAAACACATGCATCCCCGCTGCATGCTCGAGGAGTTTCAGTGATATTCCGAGTTGCTTCATGATATAGAAACCGGAGTAAACTCAGGGCCTACTTTTTCAGTGTACACTGTCACATATTATTCTAACCACGGTCGGAATCAGAAAATAGCTAACAGCACTGAAAGTCGTAAAGATTTCTTTGACTTAACTCCTCAGCAAATCCCTCACGCAAAGGCAAAAGCGTTAGAGCTGAGGGTTATGAGCTGAGAGTTTGCATCACCTTCTTTCGTTCACTCACTCCCTCCGCCTCGTCTCCAATTTTAATTTTTATTCGCTCGAGTTTGACTGCCGGGATTAGAACATAGGTAAGAGCATACGTTTCCTACTAACTGATATCATTTTTCACTCAGCCTTGTCCGCTTCGAATCCGTTTTATTTCTTGGTTGATGTATTTCTCTCAAATTACTGAATGTTAGCGAGATTAGAGAGAAATTTACTGTACTTGCAGCGAGTAAATAACGTGCGAGTTCTTTATTTTACAAGTTGCATTTAATGAGCCATTCTTGGGCGCAAGAAGTTTCTCGAAAACTTAACAAATACAGCAACGAATCCCTGAAAAGATCAAAACACCGTGTCAAGCCTTAACCCATGTCTCCTACGTCATTTTCACTTGTTTCCTTTCAAAACCCGTCATGGCAGAAAACCACAGTGGGCTATTTTTAAACTTTCATTTTCAATTGAAATTCGGCGCTTGTCACGGTACTTTTGTTTGTGTCTGTAAGAATATGCTAAAGTTGACGAGTTGCTATTATTACATAAACCACTTGTTTGGAACAATTTTATCACTTATTGCTTGAAAGTGCGGTATTTAGAAAGAACAGTGAAGTCTGCGGAGGTTTTTAGTCGGAAAATTAATAGAGTGATAAATAGATTGATTTTCACACATTTGTTGTGGAGGCTCGCGGCTTGCAAACACTCGCCACATCAGGACAAGTTTAAAAGTTGAGTTACGTGATATCACTCAAGAAGAATTTAAACAGTAACCAAGAACGTGAAGATGGTGCCCACCTATTCCCAGCCATGACTGTTGTCTTTTTTGTCTCGACTATTTGGTTGATGAGTTTATTAAAAAAACAGAACAGTACACATGCAGAAATGCTTCACAGAACTTGCTGAAGGAATCTAACCGAAGTTAACCCTTGAATTCAAACACGGTTTTCAAAACCGCCGAATGTGAAATAAAAATTATGCGAAAGTTGGGTCAACTTTGCGAATTACTACTTGTTTAAACGGTCTGGCTTTGACGTCTGATTACGTCCCAAGAGTAACAACCGGAAGACGTAAAGCCGTCAGTTTTAAAGGTGTCCGCCGTAATTAAATGTGAGTTCTTTCACGTAATTTCCACTGTGGCTTGGCCATAGATTTGCGAAAAGAACGCGTAATGAATTCTGTACAGCTAATGAAGGAGGTGTCTGCCGACAACAACCCACTCTTTTCTCTTGCTGTGCTTTAATCATTTCACTCTTTGCCACACACCTCCGGCCTTTTATGATTTCATTTCCTAATTTCTTCAAAGGGGAGTTCATTTTGCGCCGTGCCTTTTCTGTAAAAGCCAAACGAAGTGTGTGTAGACCATTGCAAAATTACAAACCTTCTTCTCGTCATGAACCGTGTGCGGGCAATAAACTTAACAACGTGTACGCAAACAACCTAAGAGTTTGCAATAACATTTATCTTGTCAGTATACGTAATAGCGGTCATATTGTTTCGGTCGAGAATAGCGGTTTTGTGTTCCCGACTTATCATCACTGCTGTCCAGACAAAGATGATAATAAGTTCTCTCTGAATAAATAGTTTCTGTAAGCACACACTTGGTACATATTCAGTAAGGTTCAAAAACACGACACGAAAATTAATATTCTGCAAAGTTTGTTCCACTTTGAACCTCCCTAGCTCGTCTTCTCTAAACACCGCTTAATGATCTTAACACGATCATTAGTAAAAATGCGACACCCTTTTACAATTGAATGAGGAAAGCTAATTGCACAAAGAAGTCCGCACTCTTGAGGAAATAATTCACAAAAGATAATAGAATTGAACGGTGGCGTGCAAAATAGAACCCCACCTGCATTTAAGACAAAAATATTTCACTTGCAACAGCTCCTTACAATTTTATCAGGCCGAATATCGTCGGCGTGTAATTGCGGGGAAGATCTACCCGAAGTCAAATTAATTTGAGTGTGAACTTTAGATACAAATTATCAGTGTTGACATTAAACAAGCGTAAGTGCTTTAAATATACAAACAAACTGATCAAAGCTCTCTATTGTTTGCATGAAGCTTTAGTATAATGGCTTTCAAATAAAAAGACCTCATTCAGTATCAATTACAAACGTTCCTTAACGTACTTAACATCGTTTTATCGAGACGGCTCGTCAATGGGAACACTGGAGTCCGGCAAAAGAGAGCTTTCGACTAAAATTTTGAGCGGTCGTTTTTCTATACTATATCTTCGTGCGCAACTTAGAGAAGCTTGCTCTTGCATGAATAATAGCACTTAAGGGTTTGTTGTTAACTTCAAGAGAGCCGCCCTTAATTGAACTCAAGTTATAGTCTCTCAACCAATCAGCAATCTGTTATGCTCGTACTGTCTTAACCGCTATTGTGAAGTAATTTTAATACCTCAAACTCACATACCAATCGCCTGAGAAATGAAATATATAGTTCCTACAACACAGACGACAGTTTTAATCGCTTGAACCAGCGAAGCACACAGATTTGTTAAATATAACGCACGTCAGGACTGCGTTGGTAAAGTTACTCACAATGCCGACGCTAAATATTTGGTTTTTTACTTTAGCCCTGTTTACATTTCCGCTACTTTCGACATCTCACTGGTGGTAAGTTCTTCTTGAAAACTTTAACGCTAAGAAGATTATACGAAATCTTGTTACTAATTCTCGATTAGCGCGCGAATTAGTTGGGTAGTGTTGACAATTATTCACCTCGTGAATGAGAAACAGTTGCACTAACTGATATTTTTATTTGTTGTAAATTCTCACCAGGTTCATGTCCCAAGTGTATGCACTGGGAGCCAAAGTCATGTGTAATAACATCGCCGGTTTGGTAACGTACCAAAGACAACTTTGTCAAGAAAACCCCGATGTTATGGTAAGCATTGGAAAAGGGGCTAAACTCGGAGTCGTAGAGTGTCAGCAACAGTTTAAAGACCAGAGATGGAATTGTTCAACGGTGGCGCGAGACGTCAGCGTTTTTGGGAAAGTGATGAGAAGAGGTAAATCTTCGTCTGTGAAAAAAGTCCGTCTTTTACTGAACTTTTACGGGTTTAAGATAATTACGGAAATTTTTTTGTTGATCATTAATTCCAGAGTAATTCGATGGCAATTAATGATTGAAAAAGTCAAACGAAATATTCTTCAATTGATCAAAACGGTGTGGTACTTAGACACAACACCATTTCAAGAGCTCCTCAAAGTTCTTACACTATATCAGACAATCTGTAATCTCACCGCTCAGAGACAACCGCTGTGTAGATGATAACCCTTCTTCATGTTTTTGCCGCATCAGTGCCGATTCACTAAATAGGTGCCTGATTTATTTTTTTTTATTTATTTTTTTGAACAGCGAGTCGGGAAAGCGCGTTTGTCTACGCCGTTTCATCAGCCGGTGTTGTACACGAAGTAACGCGCGCATGTAGTCGAGGTGAATTGAGCGATTGTACCTGTGATTCGAATCGCAAAGGAAGAAGTCGGAAGGGCTTCGAATGGGGAGGATGCAGCGACAACGTCGCCTACGGTCTGAGGTTTGCCAAGCTGTTTGTGGATTCCCGAGAACAAGAGCGAGACGCACGCGCTAAGATGAATCTTCACAACAACTTTGTCGGAAGACGGGTCAGTAAACCTGCTAATTTCTCTGCTTTTTTATCAGCCTATTACAACCAAAACAATAGCCACAAAACAGTGCCTCAAATTTAATAGACTGTTATAAATGTTTTCGTTTAAAATGTACTTGGGTGATAACCTTAACACAAGTTTTAAAAGCTCTGTTTATTTGTGTTTTGGCCCGTTCCTTAATTCAATATGAATTCTTCAAATTCATTCATTTCCCAAGTGTGTTATGACGAACAATACTCTGGGATAAGAATTTGCTTTCAAACGTAATCTTGTGATAATCGTGGGTGTTTACGAGAAAAGGTACGGCCTCGTAAAATTGTCCGTATATTTTTACATTGACGCAATCGAACACTTTTTTTAAATTTTATCTTGAGTCATACTTGTTTTTGGAAACTCAGTCAGAACTACTCATTTTTCGCAGTTGTGTTTAGCCATTACCTTGTCCAACATTGCTTAACGCAGACCATCCTTGAATTCTGCTTGTTTGTACGCAAACAATCAAAACAGAAAAATTTGGTAGCTTATCTCAATCATTTCGATCGCAGGCCTATTTTAGTAATCCACGCAACATCGTCACTTCCTAATAGAGTGTGTTTCCTTTTTACGGACGCATGTTTAGTTCTGCTTGGGAGAGCAAAGTAACCCTTTTTTGAAAATTAACGTTATGAGCGCAGGAAGCGAAATCTAAAGTTCAACTAAAAGCATGTGAAGTACTTTGGCAACGTGATTGAAAGGAATGTTTACAGCACGAAAACTTTCTAAGTTTGTTTGCTGAAAATTTCGCTTGTGATTTCGCTTCCGCGACGCGAAAATTTCCAAAGTGTTATACACAATCTTCGAGCCTTAACAACGCCTTTTAGATGGCTACATGGTATACAGTTGTATGCAGTTGTAATGTTAAGATAAGACAATAGGTTACTCTACAAAAGTGTATCTTTGAAACTTACTCATGAGTATTCTTAGCTTTTATTTAACGGGAGACTGAAAAACTAAGAAAAAAAAAGACAAAACAAAAAAGACTGAATACTCAAACCTTTTCCGCAATTTTGTGGAACGTTCCAAGTCAGACTTTCAAGTACCTTTGTCAAATTCAAATGCAAGAATTTTATGCTAAAAATTTCTTTGTGGTCTAATCGATCAAAACAGGCGAATATCAAGGGAAAAAAAAGTCACGAATGCGCATATTTCTTTTAAGGTAAATCACGAAACATTTCTGAGGGCAGTTAAGGTAATTAAAGGGCAAAGGGTCATGAATTGAAATATAGCAAACTCGTGGGAAATTTCATTCAAAGTACGCTCGCGAAGTGTCTCTTAAATTTATCTCAATCGATTAAATACATCGATAAGCTTGGATATAGATATTTTCCTAAAGTAGGGCGAAGCCTAACTATCGCATGTAGTTGCGGTTAAGGTTTGCAAACTGTCTTTTTTTGTTTTCGCTTCCTGTGTTCTTGAGTAGAAATCTTTGAGTGGAATAAACCGCAAACAATTTCCTTAATAATACTGATATTGATACTGTTTGTAATCAAATGCCCTCACGTTTTCTGGAGGCGATCAATGGACTCTCTGTATTGCAATCAGTATACAGTTTATTTGTTTGTTTATTCTTGTGTTTGATCAGAAGATTCGGACGGAATGTCTTTCCAATATCGCCGACTTTCCGGATTTCTTTCATTTTCAGGAATTTTTAAAATGTTTGTGAAAAAAAAACAACGGATTTTTCAATCAATGTGATTATACTTTCGAAGGGGGAGCAAACATGATTTTCAGCAGGGGAAGGCTACTTCAGCGTCTCATTCACAGTAAGGAGCATAACTGGATGTTTTTTTCACAGCCTGTTCCTTCATCATATCATGAAGAGATCACATGTACAATAGCAACCCGCACCCTTCGCCCCTTTTTTTTAAACTCTCTTATGACTGTTTCCACTAAAAGTTTGCTATTTCTTGTTCATAAGCCAGCTAGAGGATATTTTCTTTTAACCCTTTAAACGCTAACATCAGTATGCAAATTCTCCGTACTGTTCTGTATACATTTTTTAAGAACTGACATGGAGAATTTGTTAAATAATCAAGAGTTTCTTTAGTTGTTGATCGTTTCCTTTATTCTCATGACCTTCATGTGTGATTCAGGGTTGATATTGTAAGGAGAAATTAGATGCTAGTCACTCTTAGGGGTTATAGGGTAAAATGATGAATATTACAAATTGAAAATGCGTCAAGTCTTGATATTTCCTTTCTTTTGCACCCTGATAAGTATATTCTCGTGATTAGTGATATATCATCGTGTCTGCCCTTCGTGATTGCGGTGCACAATTCAAGTTATTTAATGGCTCATTATCGAGAAACTTCTTTTTGTTTTGGCAACTGAAACATTTAGAAAATATTGATAACTTGTTTCTTTAATGGATCGTTATGATATTGTAGATACGATGTCGTGGAAGTCAAAATTAGTCTGATAATGTAATCCAAATTTTTGTGAAGGTAATATTTTGAAGAATTCATTCTAAGGTTATTGCACGTCTGGTCAAATAAAGCTCATAAGAGTGGCCAGTAGCTTCCTCTCTCTACAGTAATACTGTTGAATCATTCATTAAGATCAAGAGTATAAAGGAAGTGGTCGCCAAACCTACTAAGATAGAAGTGTTAAACGAATTCTCCTTGTCAGGATTAATTGAAATGTCTGGAGAAGAGTATGGATAGTGTGAAAACTGACGTTACGGTGTAGAGTCAGTAAAGGGACAACCGTTTTGGAAAGCTTGGTATAAATGACAATGAAACTTTATTTACTCGTTAACCTTTTTTAGGGTCAAAATGAGATTTTTTCCTGCAAATATGGATTATCAAAAAAAATATTTCCCTAGTTCTTTACCGAGTTCAAAACTTACCATCTCGGATCTTATTTCTATCTACAAACATTACGCTATCGACATTGCTGATCCTAACAGTATGCAGGACGCGTGTCATATAAACTTCGTAATAGACCTCGCTCACCTTGGAGTCTCTGTGGCGCAGTGGTCAGGGCATTGAGGATGGAATTGGAAGGTCTGAGGTTCGATTCCTCATGGAATAAACCCTAAGCAATTTTTCCTTTGTCCTATGCTCGTGACAAGACGAAAAAAAACATCTCTCTCTATGGATCATCATGTTTTCGAAGACGCTCGGAAAAAGTCTAGAGCGAATTGATAATTACCGAAAACGTCTCGAAGAGTTCTTCCAATTTTAATTGTTGTTAAAAATAGGAAATACTGCAAGGTACGTTTCATAGGAAAAAAAGTTTTGATTTTTGTCCTTTGCATTAAGAGGAGTAAATCTCTCTTTCAGGCCGTTAAAATGCACACCATTCTGGATTGCAAATGTCATGGAGTATCAGGCTCATGTCAAGTGAAAACTTGCTGGAAAACTATGGCGCCTTTCAGTGTGGTGGGAAGTTATCTTAGAGACAGATACCAGAAAGGCATCTTGGTTACAGTTGATCAAAGCGGAAATGAACTGGTCGTGGCAGAAGAAACTTATCCTGCTACGCCTTCACGTGATAACCTCGTGTTCTTGGAGGAGTCCCCGGATTATTGTGTCCCAAACTCCAACACGGGCTCGCTGGGCACCACGGGAAGAGTGTGCAACAAGACCTCGCCGGGTCATGGGAGCTGTGGGGTTCTGTGCTGCGGGCGCGGATTCAACACGATTCAAGTAGAGGAGGAGTACAGATGCGCTTGCAAGTTTCACTGGTGTTGTTACGTGAAGTGCAATATTTGTCGGAGAACTGTTGACAAGCATGTGTGTAAATCGCCCGAGGAAGATTCTTCTCAGCACAACAGCGCCGGTCGCCAAGTGTCGGCGCTGGCAAACTCAGAGAGCAGAAATCAAAATAGGCCAAATAATCAGTCCAGGAAAAGAGCTCAAAGAAGAAAGGCCAGGAAGAACAAGAAAAGAGGGGCATCAATCAACAGCCTCGACAGCGACCACAGAGATAACAAAAGCTTATGATAATTGCTTCCAGCCTCCGCAGACAGATGGCGCAGACAATATGAAATAATTTTAGTACAAACTATCGGTCAGTATTCGTCAAGTTCATGCACGATTATGCTCTGCGACGATAAACCCCAAATAAGTTTTTCCTTTGTGGAATCACCGAAGAGTAAGGTAACAATACTAAACATTCTTAATTACAAAATCAAAGCTCGAAATCAAATTGCCACTAAAAACTAAATGAAAATAAATTTATTTTAAAGAATGAAAAAATCCAGATTGGACCAATTAGTATTCCTTATGTTATAAGGAGTTGTATATATTATATACAGTGTGTTCTCGTAAGTACAAGATGACATCCAAACCACGATTCTTAGTTTGCAAATCACTAGCTATAATATTAGAAAGATTCGTCAATTATATTGATTCAACTTTGAAGGAGTACCTGATTGTTAGAAAAACATAAAATCTCGCGACGACTGCCACTACAACAACTGCCAGACACTGGTTCTCATGCGTCAGTTTCTCACCCTCGCTGCTGGTCACTTGTATTGACATATAGTTCTAATTGGCTAATTGTTATATCTCGTGATTTGATTGGTTGGTGTAATTGCTTACGTAGGACATTCAATTGAATCTCTCTAATAGAAAATAAAATTGTGTTGAGACTTGACTTGAAAGCCTTTAGACATCTAAGACCAGTGTGGCTTTGAAAAAAAATCCTCTAAGTAAAAAAGAAGCAGGAAAAATAGAGCACACGCACAAACTACATTACTTTGGACGGAAAATGCTCGATAGCGATTTTCATTCGAATTTTGGAAATCGGGATCACAACAGTATAGGGAGAGTACAAGATTAATTTTAGCCATGTAAATCAGCTAATGTTATTTCTTTTGATTTTTTTGGTTAATTATTATAATAACTATTAATGTTAATATATATATTCAGACAAAGAGCTAGTACTTGTTAGTTCGCTTTTGCACAAGTGCTTATACAACAGTAGTTATGTTAAGAATGGTACCGCGAATAAAGTTTATGACTTCTATATACGTTTGAAATGTGTTGTATGACTAGTTATATCCATTTTGAAATCACAGGTGATCCCTGTAATCTGATTTTTCTGCTCTTTATCACATCTTTTTCCCAGCCAACGAGAAAGCTCTACTAAAATACAACAGTCAATCGATTGTTTAAAGAAACCAATCAAATTAAAGGAAAAAGGGGAAAAAAATTACAACTTTATATAAACTAGCTCACCTTGCATCACCGAAACATTTGTACAGGTTAAAAAAATCCTGTATCTGAGGGACTTAATTTTGCGATTTCAAAATGGATTTAATGGAGTGATAATTGAACTTCGTGTCGTGCAGTTCGGTCTGAAATCATACTTGTGATTTCAAATCAAACTCATGCTGCACATTCGTTTGATTTTGAAATCAAGCATACAATTTTGGACCAAATTGCACTCCACTCGGTTCAATTACCGTAATGTATTCTGCCTGATTTAATCTGTAGTACGCGCATTATTCTGACTGATTTAATCTGTAGTAAGCGCATTCTTGGCTAGTAGAGAAGAGGTTAGACGGGGTAACGGAAATTGGCATTACATGTTATTTCGCTTACCTCGCTCAAGTCATGCGCTTCGACACCCACTGTGGTCATTATGTGCTTTTTTGTTTCTCTGCTTCCTTTAATTAATGTGTTTCCTATGCCGAACGAATCGCCATACCAAAAAAAAAAAACCACACCGGAGACAGAGAAATACACTCATGAGGTGAACTGACTCACCGCCGCACCTAAATTAAACGCCGGATTCGTATAGACGCCTGGGCAAGACTACTAATTTAGAAATTAATCCCCCAGTGGTTGATCAGGGTCCAAACTTATATTTGCGCCCGCGATAACAAATCACAAATCTCTACCGAATGGCACCGCTGCGACGCAGTGGTGCTTTTGGGGGTG